GCATGTTCCTTGTTCGAGGCATTGAGGCACTTTCACCACATCTCTCATTTCTGAGAAGCAGGTCGTAGCCCTTTGTTAGGTCCTCCTCGATGGGCTAGTCACAAGTGGTCACGACCTTCCCCAATCTGAAGCCGTTATATACGACTTCTCTCCTTTCTCCAAAAAGGTAACAATTATTCTCCAGCTTTTGACTTAGATGCACTACTGCTCGATGGAGGCGGTGATCTGAATCACTTGAAGGATGGTACCACTGAGATGCCCAATAAACATCACCTCCAGTTGGTGAGAATGTGGCCGATCTCCGCATGAGTCATACCATTGGGGCTCGCATGTGCACTGCCGGTTTTTTCTTCATGAAAGATGGAGTTGCCATAAAGTTGTGCGGCGGATAAGAACCCAACAAGACAGTTGCCTTCACTTCGGACCCGAACCAAATATCCCGATCCTAAGCTTGCCTTCTTCTGGCATACCGATTTTCGCATTGAAGTCACCCAGTACAAATTTGTAGAAGGACATCTGTTTGCGGATGACGTCCTCTAAATCCTCATCTTATTGCAGGTCCTCAGCTTTTGTGTTGGAGAATAACAGTGAATGATAGTGATGGTTTTCGATACAGAGGAAGTCGAAGGATAGCTAGGCGAGTTGATAGAATCTCATGCAAATCGACAAGATAGACAACAGATGGGTAAATCCGGCCTCTAACGTTCCGTGATGGAACTTTCTCACCAAGAATGATGAGTATGTCATCACTCAGCTGCTTCAAGTTCGTCTTCCTGGACTTTGTTTTCTGCAAGGCGATTACGTGGTAGTTGACCCTAGTTTCGAGAAGCACGTGAAGATCGGCATTGGTGGACTTTCCTAGCGTTTCAGATGCAGAGCATGAGACCATCTGCATGGCGACCTGTACAACCTGACACTGGTCTTGATGACATCCGACGCCGAAGATTTAATCCAGTGCTTCTTTCCCTTTTACATGCTGTAAAGCTGTAATCGAATTTTTTCCCAAACTATTTTGCCAGAACCTGCTAAGGCTTCACCAAAGGCATTTGCTGATCCATTTAGATCAGGAAGCCACCTAGCAACTTAATCAGCCAAACGATGGCGCTTCTGGCATGGCCTACTCCTAACTAGATTCAAAAAGCTAAAGCGTCGGACTCCTTTTCAACCTGGGAGACCCTGCTGGAGGAAAATCCTTCAATTCGCAGTTCGTCCCAGGGTCACCCCGCGCGCCACGATGAAGCGGTAGACCATCACGCGGGCCTACCCCAATAAGGCCTCAAAATCCCAAAAATTCGGATTTTGCAGGAACTTTGCTCAGGGGAGTAATCTGGCATGCTAATCACGAATCATGTTCACCGCATGCTAAGGCCTTTCTGTAGGATTACGGACTGAGGACTGCAGATATACGGTTGGGAGTCAAAATCATGAGTCTGTCATAAAAGTGCTCTAGTAGGGTATAACATGTTGACCACAAGTATTATATACACTCCACAAAGGCCATACTGCAGGACTGCAAGGTAGACGCTAGA